TTTTACCAAAAATGACAAAAATATTCACCAAAATTAGAGAATTAAAGATATCATCACAAAATGAACAAATCCTGAGAGAGGTCCACATGTAGTACCTATATATGTAATATCAAAGCAATTGCACTTGGGTTTTTAACAAGAAGTCGAAAATATCAGTTTTTACCAAAAATGACAAAAATATTCACCAAAATTAGAGAATTAAAGATATCATTACAAAATGAACAAATCTGAGAGAGGTCCACATGTAGTACCTATATATGTAATATCAAAGCAATTGCACTTGCGGTTTTTAACAAGAAGTCGAAAATATCAGTTTTTACCAAAAATGACAAAAATATTCACCAAAATTAGAGAATTGAAGATATCATCACGAAATGAACAAATCTGAGAGAGGTCCACATGTAGTACCTATATATGTAATATCAAAGCAATTGCACTTGCGGTTTTTAACAAGAAGTCGAAAATATCAGTTTTTACCAAAAATGACAAAAATATTCACCAAAATTAGAGAATTAAAGATATCAACATGAAATGAACAAACCTAAGAGAGGTCTACCCAAGGTACATATACACCAAGTATCAAAGCATTTAGGCTTGTAGTTTTCAAGAAGAAGTCGAAAAAGTAAAACATTGACACGGACGACGACGACGGACGACGACGACGGACGACGACGGACAATCACTCATATGATAAGCTCCGCTCGACAAAGTCGACAGCGGAGCTAAAAAAGTGCCATATCTTTTTAACACAAGTTTGGCCAAATTGTTGAGTAGCAAGTTGTATATTTTTGTCCCCAACCAAATTATTGCATATCAAATTTATATACTGGCTTATATAAACATCATCAACTGAACAGATTTTCTGTAATTATTATAGTTGAAACATTGTTCATTTCATTTGAATATAATATGATTAAATCTTTGACATGTCATAAAACCGACAGTCTGGTGGATATGATGAAAATTTCTCTACAAATAGCTATAACTTGTTACATGTAACTTATTTACATTATAAGTATTTATAAAATGTGTACTTTTATTTGAGAACCCAATGAAATATTTACTGTACATCTTGATGTTACAAAACCGTTAGCCAGAATATGCATGTATTCAGAGTTCATAGGTCATAGGTCATATCCTCAAACATCAAGTTGACTACATGATTCTGTTGTCAGGATGAACTTTAAAAAAATTATCCATGAAAAAAGATAGAATAGCTATTGTTAAAATGTGATAAGTTGTTTGTAAATTGTAATACTGAATTTAAACAGTCTTGGGTGTACCGTATCAAGTGCTAAACACATTGCCATAGCAACATATTGCACACAAATTTTTAGTGATAACCACACCTAATTTTTAAGTTTTTCTCACGTTTTTTTTCTCGCATTTTTCTCATACATTCACTTTCAAAAATAATATGTTCATACATGTTCCCAAACCAGTATGTAAAAAATACAGTGTACATGGTTTTAGAAAATTTGAAATCGCTTTCAGAATAGTATTGATTTTCATAAAAAGCTTTGTAAAACAAACTGTAAAGCAAACTTGTTCAGACAGATAATTAAGTACCCTAAAATCTGTCTTACAAGCATTCTTTTGAATTGAGAAGCAACAATTCACTATTTGTCATATGTTTAGATGCTCTAATAGAAGCCTCATTCCCTCCGTTGCATTGTACCATTTACTAGAAGACCAAGTTTCTAATACAGATTTTACATATGTCAACAAATAACTTGAATCATCTTTTCTTAAACTCCCTGGGGAATGAAAACCACATATGTGTCCCACACACAATCTGAGCAGTGTTACATGTGGATTTGTGATAGTTTCAATGGAGACAGACAGTATGAATACTAGTAGCGATGACACACAATCTGAGCAGTGTTACATGTGGATTTGTGATAGTTTCAATGGAGACAGACAGTATGAATACTAGTAGCGATGACACACAATCTGAGCAGTGTTACATGTGGATTTGTGATAGTTTCAATGGAGACAGACAGTATGAATACTAGTAGCGATGACACACAATCTGAGCAGTGTTACATGTGGATTTGTGATAGTTTCAATGGAGACAGACAGTATGAATACTAGTAGCGATGACACACAATCTGAGCAGTGTTAAATGTGGATTTGTGATAGTTTCAATGGAGACAGACAGTATGAATACTAGTAGCGATGACACACAATCTGAGCAGTGTTACATGTGGATTTGTGATAGTTTCAATGGAGACAGACAGTATGAATACTAGTAGCGATGACACACAATCTGAGCAGTGTTACATGTGGATTTGTGATAGTTTCAATGGAGACAGACAGTATGAATACTAGTAGCGATGACACACAATCTGAGCAGTGTTACATGTGGATTTGTGATAGTTTCAATGGAGACAGACAGTATGAATACTAGTAGCGATGACACACAAAATATTCAAACCTATACACAATAGTCATCATTGCTATGAAGTACATTGTCATATTAAAATCACATCATATGTTATATAAACAAAATGCAATCGTATCAGGAATGTTCACACATTTGTATGTGTTTTTTTTAAGGATTACAAATTTGGTTTAAAAACATGGTAAAAATAAAGGACACTTCTAAAAGCAGGATCTTAAACTCATTGCATGTCCTTCTAGTCAAGTACACTACAGGTACTCTGAGATCTGTTTCATAATTTCATAATAAGTCACAAGTCTCTATACCATGCCACTGCCCACTACAAAGAGGCAGTAAATTGGAGCACCCATGGTCTGAGAATCCATACCACTAACTCTATCACTGCCATACCTTCCATATTAAATTCTCACAAATATGATTACCAGTGGTAATTTTAAATTGTTGCAAATTGTGTCTATACAATCTTTGATTAAAAACAGAAAAAGAAACAAGAAATTGGAAAATGTGTGTCATACTAAATAGCTTTGGTACATAAATAAAATGAAATCTGTAAGCCTTTTATCAATAATTTCATTTTACTAAAATTAAACAAACATCATTAAAAAGATACTACTCTGGTAGTACTGGTAAATAGACAATGGAAGCCATCATGATCATTCAGTCATCTCAAAATTGTGAAATATCCAGAGCTAAAAAATATTTTAATATTTCTCACAATGCAAAGGTGGGTTTTTTTGTAAGAATAACTAAATTCAGTAATCATCCACTTCCTATACCTTCTCACACCAACAACCATTTCTAGTTGTATCATCTAGTTTACTCATGTCAATGTTCTTCATTGAATGCTTCTTATAAACGTCGGTTTATTCGTTCGTTTCTTGGAACGGTGAATCCTGATACAGAGAGCGATGTTTTCTGGGCATATGCGGGAATAGATGGTTGCTGCTTCTTTGATGGTCGGTGTGATCCCTGGGGGGTACTGCTGGCTGACGAGTCAGAATTCAAGTTGCCAGTAGGTCCTGACAATAACAAACATATTTGACTGATTAATTAAATGTGTTTTTGAATACATTGATATTCTTGCTCATTTCTGTTTATGCAAATAAACTTTTCAAAGTATCCTCTGTGTTCTGTAATGCTTTCGGTGAGAAATGTGTTTGGCTGGAATATTGTCACAGTGATAATTACTTGAAGTATTCGATGGTCTGACTTTGTTCAAATTGAGGCAAACAGGTACCTACAGCAATATTCAATGATTTTCAGCCTGTCTGAATGCTGGCGATAGTTCACTTTCAATTGAGTGTTTAAACGATTTTGAATATGGTTTTCATGTGCTTGGATTACGAAAATACAAATCTGTTTATTGAAGGCCGAGTAATTCGGAAGAGTTAACTACATCATCATATATAATACTCATAAGAACCCAATGATTGATGAGAACAGATTAATGCATTCTGAGTGAATAATTAACAAAAGGCCAACATTGAATGTTATATTCAATATTATACGCATTTTCTTTGCCTTTACATGTATTTAAATAAACTGCATGTGATAGAGGGGAGGTAGTATTAGACAGTCTACTCACCTCTGTATTTTTTCTGTATTGTTTGTCCTTTGCCTCTATCCACGCCACTCTGATACACCACAACAGGTGGAGAGTCAACAACATCAAAAGACAATAGATCATTGTCATCTACAAAGAAAATAATACAATTAACAGTAAGTTTTATTATATTGTCCATCGTACATGATGACAATTGATCACTGAGTATTTCATGAAATATTTACCTGACTGGAGAGCAGGTGGGTATTTTATATGCGACTTCTTTCCTTTCTTACCAGTTTTCATTTGAACATTGCTTTTCTTAGAATACTGTGATTGAAAAAAAGGATGATATGACACATGATCCAAGTAACACAAACTACCAATCAGTATAAGTTGGCCTTCAAGACCAAGGATTATAACCATCTAAGCTAAGATTCTTATGGAAATGGAGCAAAAATTGTCAACACTTGTATGTATGATTGCAGGTAGCAAAAGAATAATATTAGCATGGGACAACCAACTATTTACAAAGTAACCTTTTCACTATTGTTCATATTCTGCAGACGATTGGGACAAAAATAGCCAAATCTTTGAGTAAAAACTAAAAATTTACTCAAATCAAAAAAATTGTTGTCTCCAAAATTAGGGTTCATTTCCAAAAATGTTAAAGAATGTAAGATAAATGTGCAGACAAATTTGGCCAAGAAAGTCTGGTGTTAAAAAGGTTCAACCAGCCTCACTAACAGTAATTTCAAGCCTTCTACATTGAACAATAAATGCAATGCATACCTGAACTTCAAATGACTCGTATTTTCCACGTCTTCTCATGTCAAATTGTCTTGATGGATTCTTCTTAGGTCTGTATTTAGGTCTACTATTGAGACTCAATGAATCACTCATTACTCCTTTCCTATCAGATGCATCAGTTGACAAATTATCATCACTCAATGTTTGTCTCATCGATCCTGGTGGAGGCGTGAAATGTCCCAATAACTTATTGTGTTTGGCCAGTCTGCTTGGTGATAGATATTCAACGTCCGTTTCACTTACTTCATGAACAGAATTTAAAGACATTACTGCCTTGTCTTGTAAATTCAACCTATCAAAGTTAGGTTTGGAATAGACCTGTTTGCTCTTTCTCTTGGCAGCAATGGCCGAAATGTTTTTTGTTTTCAATGCCATTTGCTTCAGTTGCTTAGGTGTTGCAGCAGGATTGGCATTGGGATTCTTGTTTTTGCCTAGCGCAGATGAGAATTGTAGATCAGTTGGTGAGTTTGTCTGGCTGTTATGTGGACTCAGTTGTGTTAGAAACGTCTCTGATGGAACAGATTTACTCTGTTTTGGTATCAACGATGCTTGTTGCTTTTCACGCAGCTGTCGGGAACGTGGACTCTGTTTGAACAATCTTGTTGGCTCATTGTCCTTTGGGCTGAAAAAAAAAGAAACAAAAACAATTACATTGGCTACAACAGTAGATGCATATACTGGAGAGGTTTTACAGTGGATGCTGTACACATATACTGGAGAGGTTTTACAGTGGATCTAACACATATACATTGTGTAACTCTAATCATGAATTCTATACAATCTATTTGTTTTATTAGTAATGTGCTTTATGTAAATGACAAAGGTGTGTCTAAAGTTGGTTTTTCAATGACCCAGTATACAAATATTTTTTGGTTTGAGTGTGCTTCTATTGTAGATGTGTTACAGAGAAAAACTGAAGCGGACACGTCATGTAAACTAGAACTCAATCTCATTTATTCTTCAACAACATACATACAGATGTTAACTCAAGAACAACTGAAATGCAACTGCTCAAAACGAGCGCAAAAACATACAATGTTGCCATATATCACATCGAGTAACAATTTTTAGGGTGGGAGGCGTTCTCATTGCCCGATTATGAATATGGTGTTTACTCTGACGTTCAAAACAAATATTTGCCAAATAAAAAAATGAAATACGAAAAAAATGAAATCCGAAGAAAACATGATTATGAATAAAGATCAATAAATCAAATGAATTTCCCCACAAATACTGTACCAGTAGAATCAAAAATCAGACATCAAACTGTATAGATACCATTACATACCTGTCACTTTCCTGAGATCTTCTGGGTAACAGTTTTTTACTTGGTGGTGTCTCATCTTTGTCTTCACTTCTACTGTCATCATTGTCTAACTGATACTGGGAATGAAGAACTGCCATGTCCTGAGTACGGACCAACAATTTGACTTTAACATAGTATACTGTTTTATTATGAATGACAGTGAGTCTGTAGGGAGTCTGTAGTTTGTTGTAGTATGTAATATATTATTAAGAATGACAATGATGCTAGGGAGTCTGTACTTTGTTGTAGTATGTAATATATTATTAAAAATGACAATGATGCTAGGGAGTCTGTAGTTTGTTGTAGTATGTAATATATTATTAAGAATGACAATGATGCTAGGAAGTCTGTAGTTTGTTGTAGTATGTAATATATTATTAAAAATGACAATGATGCTAGGGAGTCTGTAGTTTGTTGTAGTATGTAATATATTATTAAGAATGACAATGATGCTAGGGAGTCTGTAGTTTGTTGTATATAATATATTAAGAATGACAATGATGCTAGGGAGTCTGTACTTTGTTGTAGTGTGTAATATATTAAGAATGACAATGATGCTAGGGAGTCTGTAGTTTGTTGTATATAATATATTAAGAATGACAATGATGCTAGGGAGTCTGTAGTTTGTTGTAGTGTGTAATATATTAAGAATGACAATGATGCTAGGGAGTCTGTAGTTTGTTGTAGTGTGTAATATATTATTAAGAATGACAATGGTGCTAGGGAGTCTAGTTTGTTGTATGTAATATATTAAGAATGACAATGATGCTAGGGAGTCTGTAGTTTGTTGTAGTGTGTAATATATTAAGAATGACAATGATGCTAGGGAGTCTGTAGTTTGTTGTAGTGTGTAATATATTAAGAATGACAATGGTGCTAGGGAGTCTGTAGTTTGTTGTAGTATGTAATATATTAAGAATGACAATGATGCTAGGGAGTATGTAGTTTGTTGTAGTGTGTAATATATTAAGAATGACAATGGTGCTAGGGAGTCTGTAGTTTGTTGTAGTATGTAATATATTAAGAATGACAATGATGCTAGGGAGTCCATAGTTTGTTGTAGTATGTAATGTATTAAGAATGACAATGATGCTAGGGAGTCTGTAGTTTGTAGTAGTGTGTAATATATTAAGAATGACAATGGTGCTAGGGAGTCTGTAGTTTGTTGTAGTATGTAATATATTAAGAATGACAATGATGCTAGGGAGTCTGTAGTTTGTTGTAGTATGTAATATATTAAGAATGACAATGATGCTAGGGAGTCTGTAGTTTGTAGTAGTGTGTAATATATTAAGAATGACAATGGTGCTAGGGAGTCTGTAGTTTGTTGTAGTATGTAATATATTAAGAATGACAATGGTGCTAGGGAGTCTGTAGTTTGTTGTAGTATGTAATATATTAAGAATGACAATGATGCTAGGAAGTCTGTAGTTTGTTGTAGTGTGTAATATATTAAGAATGACAATGATGCTAGGGAGTCTGTAGTTTTTTGGTAGTATGGGGCAGTCTGGAATAAAGCTTGGACGTGGCCACACGTGTTGTGCAGGTGTCTCTGTCTTTATTGGCTCACAAACATTACACTGTTAATGGTTTAAATGGATAAATCTGTTTCTTGGTAAAATATAAACTCAACACCGCACCCATAACAATATTTCACTGAATGTGCTAAATTACCTTTTGAAGCACCATCATTTTTATAGTCAAAAATTGGTGTACCATTTTGTCTCTTTATCTATATTTATTTGGCTAAATTTGAACCAAATGGACATAATTTCTATTGGCTACAAGTTGTGATCAATATTTTAGTAAAATTGTAAAAACAATTATGAAGGTTTAAAATTTGCAATGTTGAACAAATTTGGACTCAAAAGGTTATTGCCAGGTTTGCTGTACCCAATGCTATAGATCATTTAACAATACTGTAAAACCATTTATTTTCACTGGTGTTTAATTAATTTTAATATTTTAAGAGTATATTCATTTGCCAGGAAAACAACAAGTTCTATTGTTATTTACATTTTTCAGCTTTTATTTATCAGTGAAAATAGCAAAAATTAAAACCTAGTGAATAATTAATGCATTTACAGTACATTGTATGTAACATTCAACAATTTAATTTTTATTTTAGTTCATATTTCCCAGATTACAAAAGACCGTAAACTAATATATTTTCACTGCTATGTTTTTTTTATGATTTGATTTTGGACATTTGTAAGCAACTGTCACATATTGTGTCCTAAATACACAAAACAAAATTGTTGGGGTTTTTCCCCAACTCACGGAATATCTCTCGTGATTTAATTCTAGAATAAAAAGAAACCTGGATACATAAGAATAATTACATACCTGTGATGCCGTCATTGTCTGGGATGCATATCTCGATAAATTCCCTTCATCCATCATTAACTGATACTGTTCATACAATTCGTCTAAATCATCCGTACATACCACGTGATTCTCATCAATTAACGAGCGTTGTTGTTGTATGAGTTCATCACATAGTCCTCGATATTGCTCATATCGTGCAATTGTCAGATCTTTTTGTCTTAGTAGATTTTCCCGGATCAATGCAGTAGACTGAATCTCTGTGTTCTCAATTTCTAATTCGTGTACTTTACACAGTAGACTCAGTATCTCCCGCTGTTCCTCACTATTAATCCGATTTGGGAGAATCTTCAAAATAAACAATATTACTTATTTATAATTATCTTAGTTTCAATATTGTTTAGACATCCAATCAGTAGAAATCCTTTATTGTTTTTTTTGATAAATTAGTGCAAGGATTAGTGTTGTTTTTTTGTTTTTAACACAATTGCCAGAGATGTTCTCCCTAGCAGAATGATTACTGTAAAAGGGTTAATTATTTACTGGGTTTTAATTTTGCTTATTTCGCTGACTGGAAAATGAGCTAAATTAAATCCCAGTGAATATGTTAAATTGAGCACATTAGAACACATTATCTAATTTATATCAAATTTATAAAACCGTGAATTTATAACCCACTTAATTTGCTCAAAATCCTAATTCAGTGTAATTTAAACCTAGTGAAAATTAGTCATTTTACAGTTGTTCTCCGGTACTTTTAGCAGCGAATATATAGCCGTACATTATTCATTCAATGAAAAAAAAAAAAAAAAAATGTGTCTGGATTTACCTAGGCAGGCTACTGTATATATACAAGTAATTCAAAGGCTGTGCATATTTTTATTTTTGTCATTAAACAAATACTGTATTTGCTTAATTGGAAGCACAGATAAACCTAAAATTACATTTATTGTATACTAAATCATTAATATACAACTTATTTTAACCAGAAAAACACTTCTGTGACATATGTGAGTGCATGTAGTAATGTACTATTAGAACAAAGATGCTACAGATAAAAATGTTTGCAGCCAGTAAATACATTTTAATTTTACAGTAATCATACCTTATTCTTTTTATTGAGACCAGTCAGTTGTGTTTTTAAGTGAATATTAATTATGATGTCAACAACTATTGTTCCCCTGACTCAATTCAAGTCAGTGACTTTGGCCAAGAAGGAGTCTCATCAATGATGAATCTTCCTGAATGACTTACTGTTGTGCTCACAAAGTACAATAAAATATTATATGCTATGTAAAATTCAAAGAAACATACCTCTTCCAGTTTAGAAGCACTTCCTTTTATAACTCCTAATTTCTTTTCCAAATCAGATTTCAATTCAGCGGTTTTCTTCTGCTCAGCGAGTAATGAAGTGATTTCATCTCTGGCTTCAATTACTTCACCTGGTTCTGGTGATTGACTACTAGATTCTACATCCTTCTCAAGATCTTTTTCTGTAAGTGTATTATGTAAATAACAAATAAACATTGTGATGACAACAAATACTATATTCAGCTCAATTTCACAAGAGACAACTTTTTGTAAGATTCTCAAGTCAGTGGAAACAGTTACAGTACAATGCATAGAAGCATTTTTACAGACAAGGAGGAAGGATAGCAAAATATACAAAGTTAACTAATAAAATGTATTCTTTCACAAACCAGTAAATTTCAAACCTAGTGAAAATAATTGCCACATCAAATCCATTAAAATTAACCCCAGTATTTCTCCTACCTTGTACTAGTACATCATCATTTATGTAGTATTTACCTTGTACTAGTACATCATAATTTATGTAGTATTTACCTGATTCTCTGTTGTCTAGACTTTCTTTAGATGCATTACTTTTCTTAGAAGCTCTTCTGACTTTCTCTTGTTCCCATCTAAAGAAAAGATTCAATCATTACATCATCATACATAGCAATAACTTTTGTGAGTTTTCTCCAGCAAACTATCCAAACATGGTGACAAATTTGCATAATACTGTCTAATTTACATATTTATTTTGTGGCAATCAAAATAATAAATATGTCAATAATCTCTAGTTTCATATAAGTTCAAGTACAGAATTCTTGTGACCAAACATGGCAAAACGGCCTTGCATTCTCAAAAAGGCTTGGCACACCACTGGGGCTAGGTCAAGCCAGGTCTACAATCTAATTGAATGATATGTACAATGATACAAACTGCATCGTATCAGTACATTGTTATAACATTAAAAATACTAGGTACAATATTGTAATCATGGGGCTAAAAAATAGATTTGTTAGCTCTATGGTATAATCAAATAAGAATTCTGTTTATATATTGATCAATAAGACTAAGAATATGCACCTGAATTATAGCACCTAATTTTGACTGAAAAATAAACTACTAATATGTATCAAAGTAATAGAATTCTCAAAGATGGATCGGAACAGGAAGACAAAAGATTTTTTCTTTAGCATGGGGGGGTGGGGGTGTCAGTGTGAGGGAAAAAGAGGTGTTAATTCGAAAATACATTGTTCATTTTTGTTTACGATTGGTCCTGGCAACGTTTGGGGGATTGTGACGTAGCTTCGTCTTTGAGAACATAGTACTCACTCAGCAATGGTTAGTAAATGTTTACTGGTATCCATAGCGATCTCCATGTTTGTATTTTCCAGTTCCATTAAACTGCGCCTAATTTCCATTTGTTCCTGGAAATTGGACACAAGTTGTTGTCTGAGTTTGTCCATTTCTTTACGATCCTGAAAAGCTGTTGTCCTTTCCACTTCGGCTGCAAAGTGAATACATCCAATCAGTAAACAGGAAGTCAGACACATGGTGTTATGTTCCCTTGTTTATCATGGATAAAGAATATACTTCCAAAGAAGACAACTCAACCAATGAATGGATGTATATGTGTACAAGTGCTCATTTGCATGTGGTACTGATGAAGCCCAAAAAAATATAGTTGCTCTATACTTGATTGGTCTGGACGTAGCTCTTACTTTATAATACTTCATTTTAGCTGGAATTAATTTCGCTGAAAAGACATTTAGGATGTTTTGTATGAAGTTTATTTTCACTGCTTCATGTCCTCAGCCAAAATAGAAATAAATTCCAATTGAAAATAAAGTATGTTATGTGAGATATTAAAAATTTAGTTCCATAGAAAACATAATTTTGCCCCTTTTTGGTAGATTTAAGGCACTCAAAATTTTATAATACAAAATTGAGTTTGTTTATCAACAACATTTGAAAAAGTGTTATAGGCTTGAGGAGTATAGAGGACTTTGCACAGAATTGTCTTTTATGTTTTTTTTATTCGGTTCAATAAAGCCAATTTTGTGCTGAGGCTATTTTGCCGAAAATAAGTTTAGAAAATTTTCAAGTACAAGAATGAATCCAGTGTCTACACAACAGAAATTATTTTGATAAGTAATTGCTTAAGCAATTGGATAGTTTGATTGACGTCATTGATACACCAACTTTGTGATTGGCTCTAAAAGTTTAACTTCAAGGAAGCAATTGCAAAGTTGATTTCTATTGTGTTTGCATTCCTCATCAATATCAAAATACTTAAATGACCATTACTAATAGTAATTTCTGGTTGTGTTTAGTTATGTCTGGTGGAGACAAGTTTTGTTAGGTTATGTCTTGTTAAGACTCGTTAATCCAACAATATCTATTTACATCTGGTACTGTCTGATAATATCAATTATAGTTAAAAGAAGAGGTTTAAATAGAATTGATAGGAAAGACTTACATTGGATGTCTTTAATGCTGGCTGAACCCTGAGTTCGTGTTGGTTGGATTTCTTGCTCATTTATTTTCTTTTTAAGTCTAGCTATTTCTTTTCTTAAATCGGCTATGATACCAGTATACTGAGCTATGTGAAAGGACACGTTGAAAAAATTGGCTTTCACCTGAAAAATAACAAAAATATGTAACCAGGGAGCCGGTCAAATGTCATTTAATTAAATTGATATTAAAAAAATTTTCAGAAAATAACATCTTTGATTGATTCTAAACTAAAACCAAACAATGAATGGTGCATTACAGTCCGTTGTGAGGCACCATGCACTGGATGTTCCGGTAATCACTATTGTCTGATTTGTTTTCAATGAAATTGAAAATATTTTTTCTTGAAAATGAAATAGACCAAGTAAGTTTTTATAGAAATGGGTAGAGACACTTTCTTTTCATTTAAATGTTGATGTTGTTGTGATTCTATTACCTACTGGTGCTTATCAATCTATCATACTTGCTCTATCAGAAGCACATCTGCTTAGGTACATTACAGTTTTTGCAAGGGAAAATAAGTCATGTTTTAATTATTTTGTATAAAACACATGTAATTTTTGGTTTATATGAGCTTCTATTGCAGATACGTTTTTTTTTAGAGCAAAGATGGTATTGCTTTTATTGTCCTCAAAGGTAATCTTATAAAGAGCAGTTCTGAATCAGTAAAACTGTCTTACGCAGCAAAGACACACATATAAACAGAAAGCTTACCCTAGTTTTGATATTCTTAGCTCTATCAGCATAAAGTAAGGTATTTCTTGACTCTTCAAAGAACATACTAGCAGGACTGATATGAGCTATCATCACTGTGCGGCAGTTACCTCCCAAAGAATCCTGCAATATACAACATGTGATACTGTAGAGACAGTCAGTCACCTTTACTGTGTTTGCCACACAACTACTGTGGCAGTAAAAATCTCCAAACTTATTTGCATATCATTTGCATAAAAACAGAAATTGTAATGGTTAACATGCATATAATCAACCATTGTGAGAGTCAGGATGATGACCGTGGCAACGTCAAAAGACAAATGGGACGGTAAAACCAAGCACAGTGGTGGTATCACACCACTGTTTGTACCCTGAGAAGAACACTGTCTTTAGATAAGATTGGTTCTACCCATGGTATACGTGAACAATGACACATGTTAGTAATGACTAATATCACAATACCAACAATTAATTCTCGTTATTTACCACACCATAGCAAATCTTGAGCGAATTTTAAAGAATGAAAAGTAACAAACTATACTGATTTTTAGTATGGTAATGAGGTGACCTTTGGCCTTACCTTAAGTAATCTTGTAAGTTTGCTATCTCTAAAATTAACATATTTGAAATTTCCGCCTTTCTCAGCCAATGCATTGATACAGTTGCCTAAAGCTAACAAGGATCTGTTTATGTGAGCGCCCTCTATCATCCGTTTTCCACGATTCTGAAATTCAAGAACAAATCAAGTCACCTAATCTAATGATTGAGGCTTTATAAGAAATCCTGAGTACAATATCAATTGTGAACATATTATACTAAGTCTCGCTACTAACATAATGTTAACCACTCACAAGACAAATATTCTCATAATTTGGTAGCAACAAGCACCAGTACAAAGTGTAAAAGTTTGTGCAAATTAAACATTTTATAGTATTAGGTATTTGACCACAACCATTGCATATATTTCTTCAATGTGGCACAGTAAAGGATGGAATACAGAAATGCTACACAGTATAAAAGTCACAGCATGATGCACACTGTATTGTAAAAATACTGTAAACCACTTTAATTTAATTAAGACGATAAAATATTCATACTTTCCACACTGTATTGAGGTATTGTAAACCATTTTTATGTCACGAGAGACTAATTATGATTTCCACGAGTCGAATTTGCAAAATTTTGTAGCAGTGAAAATTTCGCTGGGGTCCTACTACTGCGGGTCAGTGACTTTTTGACAAATCATGAAATTGTAGAAATTTCCTGCATTGAAAATGAAAGCAGTTTGCGGTATAGCTCCTAAAACACAGGGAACTGTAAATAGTACATGCTTTATTTTTAATTCAGATTGTTTATATATTCACCTTTGTTTGTGCGGCTCTTTCAGACCCGGCTAGATCTATCATGAATAATTTACCAACACGAATTTCTTGCGATATATTTCTAACTCTATTACGTTTCTTGACTGTCACTTGTAATACAGCATGTGACCGAGATGATGTCTTATTGGCTGCTGTGGGTTCAGATGTTCTTTCTTTGTTTCCTCTTGTCAATAATCTCATCACCTACATGTAAAACAAAATGTATAAACATCGCTCTCTCTGTCAGATATTGATAATCACTTGATTATGATATATTAGTAAGATGAGGTTAACACTGGCTTCCAAGTTTTATTGAAAAAATAAAAGAATCAAAAAAAAAATATGAAAATAGCAAAACTGAGAAATATTATTAATGGAATCATCGTGAAAAAAAAAAGACTTGTGTTCTTTGTATGTGCCCTTCCTTAGCTTAGCTGCACAGTCTAGGTTTCTAGCTATTCCCGTAACTAGGATCTATTTATGAAATAACCAGATTACGCCAATCAGAAACTACTATATTTTCATAATATAAAGATGATATTTGACAGAAAGAAACTATCATTTGTTTCATTATTATATTTTTCATTCACACTTTTCTTGTTCAATGTTTTGCAATGTCATGTGATTGACTACATCTTTGAGTTGGCATTGTTGGTTTCATAGAATTCAGAGACGATGACAGGTTCGTTGCTCGGTTTGCTGGAAGGTGCACATAGTGTTACAAACAAATGGTCACATGATATACAAATGAAGCTGATAAATATTAAATGGCAGTGGTCGTAGCACTGCACATGTGCAACATTTCTCACGATCCAATGCACTCTTCTAATGGAAATACAAGTACGAGTTTTGACCTGGGTGCAGCTTGCACACTACCGCCAGGGACTCCTGCAAGTTAGGTTTGATTCACAGTCAGCAAATTAGTTACAATGCTAGAGATAAAAGCATAACAGTGTAAGTATCTCACCTCTCGAGTTGACTTCGTAGAGACTTCCGATATGCCTGCTACTTGGACATTGCCAGCAGCATCTTCCCTGAGATCCAGAAATCCTGACGACGGATTAAGCAAGTCACGGATCATCTCATTGTAAATCTGAAATTGATGACATCCAAAACTACAGCACCTCTCAAATACATGAATCCACAACATCATAGGAACTCGATCTTTTTCTATCACAAGTGACGCCCTCGGTGGTGAGATTGCTAAAATAACAGCTTTACACTTCTGCCTCAAGAGGGCGGTAGACAAAACCTCAATATTTATTGCAAAGAGTGTGATACACATGTTAAGTCCCATGTGTTGCAGCAAGTGCATTTTTTAAGCCTACACTTAGAAGCAGAGGGTTTGGCAGACTCATTTATGTAAATATTTGAATATACAGAAAATACATTAGGGGTATCATTACATCCCAGCTGGTGTGTAGAAAAGCTCATATGACAAACAAAAAACCAAACATGTGGTTCGATATATGAGCAGGGAATTAACTATGACTGCAATGCATATTTGCTTTTCTTACCATGGTCAAAATTGTTATTACAATTAACCTACTTAGCATATATATTGTTTTTGGGGGTAATTCAAGCATGCGGCCACCGACTGCCGATAAAATAATGCACTAGACTGCAGTAATGCTGTCTTTACACATTTCTAATAGTAGCACACATTATTGTGAACATGTACTGCTCATTAAAATATGACTTATTTTATCGATAATATGACAATTTATATAAGCGTATGCACTACTAACAGAGCAAACTTGGTACATGAAGTTGGACATATGTCAGGTTTTTACTCACTTCTAGATATGACATAGTCACTTTATAAACCTGATTCTCACTTGTATCTTCCATGGCTGTAAATAAATCATTTAATGTCCTTGCCATAATTCCCGGATCATTGTCCTGTCCCAGCATGGTATACGTCTTACCAGCACCTAGGAATGCACATATAATTAAATCATTGGTAAAAATCACACGCACATTTAGAAATTATTCACCTAAATTGCAATTTTTACAATACTGAATGATCAAGAGTGCATAACAACAAAATATTCAGCAAATAAACAGCATAAACACTATATATTCTCATATGAATTATAATGCATTAATGCACAAAAAAGTTTTCAGTGCTCCCCTGAAATGGCTACTGTACAATGTATATAACTGGAAATGTTTTGTCATGCGTTTATTCGCCTTATGTTACCAATACAAAAAGAGATTTTTACATTTTTTTTAAACAATGCATTCACCAGAAAAAATTATTTCTTTATGGTCCAATTAATTTGAGGATTGTGGTAATGGCATAGTTTCACACTGATCACAATCTGTAATGATCTATACATTCTCTTGGTTGAAATCAAAATGTGAAACAGGAATAACTAAAAACATTTCAATTTGGTGAGAAGACACCTTGACCGCTATGAAAAACAAGCTGGTCATAAGCAGACAATAAAGAACACAAATGCTGCAGAATTAAATATTGCTATGAACAGAATTCTAAGGAAACAGACGTGATGCATTTCTTTATCATGTGGATCAAAAGAATATCAATTTAATTGTTGGTACTCTACATGTAGAAATGAGAGGCCACAGAGCCCTAATTATAACATGGTGAAAAGGGTTATTGTACTGAAAATTACTCAGTTATACAGGTGTGAACACAATATAACCTTTGTGTACGGGCCAAATACGAAGGGACACGGGTGACACTAATTTTACACAACGTTAATGATTTATTTCATCGAAGCACAGTAAGCTACCTTGTATCCTTGGAAACCAGCAACAATCAAGAGTGTAAATGTCTTGCAAATATAACATGAAAGAAAGACTACAGAATGAGAGAGATACTGTTATGTGCCTGCTGACAGACACTCAAAGGAACCTCTAGACACACGTTAAGACCACATGTACTGCTATAATGCCAAGATTTAATATACTGTATTTTCAATGGTTATTCACTGATCAATACTCTACAGGAATGCATAACTAATTTGAACGATATCATTGCATCACATTTACCTGGAGAATAGTATGAAAACACTGTTGAATTATGGGATACCATTATTGCAATTCAAAACTTGCACTTAAGATATGAAAGGGTAGCTGCTTACGAGCCAAGTTTGATAAAAATGGACTAAATGTATAAGAACAGTATGGGAAAAGAATCTGTTTTTTTCAAAGAGTACCAAGGCAAACATCTTGACATTGAGACAATTGTCTTCTATGTGTTGATGAAGCCATGTTGCATCACGTCACAGGCCAACACTGTTGCATGCTGGGATATATTTATTTACCTGTAGCTCCATATGCAAATACGGTTGCATTAAATCCATCCAATACTCCATCAATGAGAAAACTAGTCTGTTGATATACATCTTCCTACAGAGAAAAGTGAAAATATTGTGAATTCCTGCAAATACTAGAAAACCCTTTACTTTCACAAGACAAATTTGAGAATCAAGGACACCAGTTCCACAAATTATGCAAATTATTTTGATCACACTCAATGAGTTTTAAATTCTCATATATGCCACATCATATTTTATATATTTATACAGCAGACTTCATGTATCAGAAAGTTTTGAAAATTACAACCCAGTGAAATTTTAATATGTTTACAGTATTTTTTCATACAAAAAGTTTCCATGCATGTCCCTTTGTTTGTTTACACCAATCAACATGCAGAATTGACGTGCAGAACTGAATGAAAACATCAGTTTAATTAACTTTCTTGAAATGATAGATGACAGTTTGGCAAGAAGACTTTACACTACCACTTAGGTAAGGGGCATAGTTGCCTTTCTGGATGATTTGTAGTCTAAATGAGCTACGAACCAAATAATTCATCATAGTTGACAGGTAGTTCGTGACTATCAACATGATACACCTGCGATACGCTGACACTGTGTCAGCTTAGTGTCATGACATTCTGTTACCAAAGGAGGATATAAAATTGACTACAGTGATGGGGAAAAGCTTGTAGGCAATTCAATCATAATGTTTCCAATACACATAATACATTATAACAATACAAGATTGAAAAATACTATCTATTGTTAAACTATGTATTAATTAAAAAATTACACCCCAAGGCTCATTTCATCTGTGTTTAGAATTATCGACTCGTATATAAAGATAAATGTGTACAAATTTGCATGCAGAATGTTTTACATTTGCATCAAATCAATATCACGTACGTCATATGCCATTACTTTCAGATCACAACAAAAGAAGCATGGCATAACGTGATCACAAATATGGTGGTTAAAAACGATCAATCTTCAGGAATTTTCCTAAGCCCAATACAATTTTGAAACAATGGATCTTTACACAAATGTTATCCTTGTCAAATTACAGCTTTATTAATATCAAGGTATAAGCAGGATTATCTGATCCATGAGAATTAGTGTCAAGAATTTCATTAAAATATCAGCATTCTTTATCAGCATGTGCGACACCTGTTGGCCATCCAATACACATCAATAACAAGTCAAGTGTGCTCGCAGTCAATTCTGGTACCATTAATTACAAGATATAGTTATATTCAGTGACTTATGCAAAAGGCAATGCATGTAGTACAATTGTAAAGCAGAATCGATTTTGTTAATAAAACAAATTTATTTAAGAGATTAATTTTCCCGGGTCTTAGAATATGCAATCTTTTGAAGCAATGAACATTTCATCACAGAGACAAAATTTGATACTAGAGTCATTCACAAAATACTGTCAAAATCTAAAATCTGTTTACATTAGCTCATATACTGGTAGTAACAAAACTAAGCATTAAGTGCAACTTTTAAATGATTTAAGGACAAGAGTTTCCTGAATCTATGTTATATTATTTGTTGTTATTGGCTGTTTAAAACTGAGAAGGAAAAACTTAAAGTACCTGAACTAGTTTTTAATAATCTTAATTGTACGTCTTTTACCATTTTTTTCAATGCAAAATGGCTGCCAAAGTAGGCTTTATACAGGGAAATCACAAATTCATAATTATTGGTAACAGGTTCAGGTACCCCCACATTTTTTTGTTCTTTGTTTTTTATTTGATGAAACCTTTCACTCACCAAAATATCAATAGTTTGCAGCGCTTTCAAAAATGATTGTACTTTTTACGAGTTAGCAGCATCCATCCATAAAGCTTTTTCCAACAAATACATCACCCGTCAATCACAGTGATGATGAAAAACACCCACCAACCTGAGTGAGGAAGACTGTACCTGCCAACTAGAATGACGAAGACTGCACCCACCAGCCAGAGTAACGAAGAGTGCACCAGAGTATATCTGCCAACCAGAGTGATGAAGACAACACCCAGCAACCAGAGTGATGAAGACAACACTCG